CCATTACGAACTTCAAATACCAAATTTAAAAAAAATGTTGGTGAATAATGTAGCTAAAATCATGAAAATACCGAATATCGGGAGGTACCTTTATATGGGGGCTATACGAAGACGTGGACCTACATGGCCCATTTTCCATACCAAAAGACCTACAGACATAATACACATTTAAATAAATGTTTAACAACTTACTTCATTTCGTTCGGAAGATAGAGTGATTTCCACAGACAGATAGACGTACGGACATCGCCAAATCGGCATAGAATTTTATGCTGATCAAGAATATATATATATACTTTGTGGGGTCTAAAATGTATATTTCGAGGTGTTACAAACGGAATGACAAACTTAATATACCCTCCATACTATGGTGGAGGGTATAAAAATACCAACTCCATGTGATCTCGCCTCCATCCACTTCTTCTCCTTCTCCTGTCCGAAGAAAAAAATCCAATAATTTAATTAAAACTCGACTGATTGAAATATCTGTGCAAATAATGGCAATTATTGGACTTGGTACTTTGTTGCCGTTTGTTCGATTGGAGGGGGAGGCGTAATATTTTTCTCTTTGGATCTACTGTATTTTGTTGTTGTTGCTGTTATTGTTTTTATTCTTCGTCTTCTTATTGTTCTTTATAATTATCAAAATGTCAACAAAGGGCAACCCAACCAAATCGAGTTTTGTATCTACAACCAGGCAGGCAGGCCAGACCAGGCCAGTCGACTCGAGTCGCACACAAAGGAAACGTTCAAGTGGTGTTATTGTTGTTGCTGCTTCTGCCTCTGTTGCTCTTGTTGTCATTGTTATTTGAGATATTCACGTCAATAACAACAACAACAATAACCTCAGCAAAATAAGAGTAACACAATTCAACAACATTTTTCTGCTTTCTTCCAAGTAGAATATTGTAGAGAAAGTTCAATTACCCTAAAAATTGCTGAAGAAGAAAGGAAAAAATGCATCGCGGTTAGCTTAAAAAAATGGGGACTTTTCTACAGAACAAGGGATGTTTAAAGTATTAAATTTGGGCCTAATTTTGATATATACAGAGGTGATATAAAAACTGCAAAAAAGTCAAACGCCATAGATTCTACAATTTTTTTAATTTTATTGAATGAAAGCAAAAAAGGTCGGAAATAGCTTAAAATTTTAGAATAAGTCTAGATTTGTTCGAATTGGCCACCTTTGGCACGAATTATGACCGTCACACGCAGCCCAAATGGTGCTCTGTGGTATTTTGGCCCATTGCCGACAAATCGACACTTTGGTAATTTTTAGAGTCAACCTTGCTTTCCAAAATACTCCACAGACAATAGTCCAACGGATTGGTATTCGGAGATTTTGGTGGCCATTGTGCGCTGGAAATGAAGCGAGAAACAATCTCAATTTGTAACCATTCTTGGGTGACGCGTGCTGAGTGCGATGGTGCTGAGTCCTGTTGGAATGTTCAAGGTGTGCGGCCAAAATGTTTGCGTGTCCAAGGCTTTGATATACCCTTCAGAATATTTTCGCAGTAATATTCGGCATTTATCCTGATGCCACGTTCGATAAATACTAGCGGAGAGCGACCATCGGCTGTTATGGTGGTCCACACCATCACCATGACCGGCGCTTGAGTTCTGGTGGCCAACCGGAGGTGCACATTTTCAGCTGACCTCTTTGGCAAGTAAACCCGATCATTTTGTTTGTTTACAAACTGCTGGACAACGAATGTTTTCCCATCGAAGAAAACCCAATTCGGCAGTTCACCACTTTCGGCCAAGCGAAGTATCTCTTTAGCTCTTTTAAGTCTATTTTCTTTTTGTTGCCGTGTAAATTCTTGCACTATTTGGAATTTCAATGGGGTTACACCGAGCTCATTTTTCAATATGTGCCGAATGGAATATTGCGATAAGTTCACGAGCCATTTTTCATTCAGTACTTTTCGAACAATTATAGTACACAATTCCTGCAAGTACCTCCATATGTCCAGGCACCTCGAAATTGCAGATTTAAGGCATTATCTATTCAGCCAATACCAAATTGTATCAAGTATAGTTCTATTTAGCACTTTTCGTACAATAATAGTACACATGACCAAAAACAGCTCCTATCCTCAATCCCAGATACCAAAAGTGACCTGAATATCAAATTTAATCATTTCAGCTTTATTCCTTCACCTAATACCAAATTTAGTACTTTTCGTACAATTATAGTACACATCACACCAAAACCACCTCCATATCTTAACCGCAGACACCAACAGTGACATCTACATCAAATTTCAGAATATTATCTCTATCCCTTCACCCAATGCCAAGTATAGTACCATTTAGTTCTTTTCGTACAATTATAGTAAACATTGCCCAAAACACCTCCATATATTCGAGCTACACCCTAATACCAAAATTAAGATTTTAAGCCCGCTCTGTTTACCCAATGGCATATTGTACCAAATGTGGTACTATTTAGTACTTTTCGAGTACTTGTAGAACACATTATCAAAACCGCTTCTTTATCACAAATCTACCACAAATATTCGTCCCAAAACAAAATTTTTAAAATCCCAACTTCATCCGTTCACCTTAAACCAAACTGTTACAAATTTAGTACCGTTTAGTACAATTCGCACACTTAGTACATATTTCCAAAACCGCCTGCATGTATCAAATTTACTTTCCAACCTTGATTCTGATACCAAATTTTAATTCAATTCAAATTTTAGCTCTATCCGTCAACATAATACTAAACGGTACCATTTTAGGAGTTTAGTACAATTTTGGATCTTTTCGTAACCTTAAAGTGCGAATTTCCAAAAACTCTTTGGTATATTTATCCTGCACTCCATTAGTGACTTTCATTCCAAATTTCAGAATTCTAGCTCATTTGGTTTGTCCAGTACTTTTCGTAGTACGAATTTCGAAACATCCAGTCTTATCACACACCTACGCACCACGACTCGGCCTCATGCAGAATTTCAAAATTCTAGCTTTAGTCACTTCTGGGTTCAGTTATTTCACTACTTTTTCATTTAGATTGAGTTTTCCACTATTTGTAAGTAATGGGTGTGTTCGTAAGCATTCACCCCTTTTGAGTTGGAGAACTTTTAATTAAATCAGGCATCCTTCCCTTTGGGGGTTGACCTCTTCTTTATATTTGCTCTAAAACTCTTGGATAGAAGTTTTTCCATTGTCCAACGCCAATCATTCATCGCCTTAAATAAATTACCATTAAACCAATCGATCCGACGATTCCATGAGGTACCTCTCCCAGTCATATGTATTTTCATTGAAGAAATCTGCAAAAATCAGCCAAAATTTGTAGGAGTGATACGTTAAAGGAAAAAACGAAAGCAAATGCCTCCTCAACGAAAGCGTTAAAGAAAAAGTTTCATTCTGGTCGTTAATGTCGTTCGATTTTTCTTGACGGTTCTTTTATCAAGTTTCGAATGAATTTTCCAGTCGTCACTGTTAGGAATAACTTCAATCTTTGGCAAGAGTCGATATTACCCTTTCTCAAACCCCGATCGAAAAAATGAAAAAAAAATCGTCAACCGGCCGATCGAAAAAAAATTAAAAAAAAACTCGTCAACCGATCAAAATTGTATTAATCCATTTGACCTGATTACTACGAATTTGGAATTTTTTATGTCCTTCAATTACACCAAGCAACCATAAAATTCTCCACTTTTGGAGATTTCCAATAATTCTCTTCCTCCTCTTTTTAATAGTTTCTCTCTTAAAAAAAATCAAATTAAATAGTCAAACTGATGGGAACCCCCGCCTGCCATTCAAAACTAAATCCCGACCATAAATCGCTGCACAAAAGTACTGCGTACATCGGGTCTTGGTCTTGCATTATCTTCTTATTTTTTACTAGAATGCTTTTACCTACTTGCAGTTAAATAAATGAGCTTTTAATTAAGTGTGACATAAAGTCAGTCAGTCAGTGAGTATTCTGTGTGAAATTCCTTGCATCCGCACATTGGGTGGGTGGCGGCCGGTATACATTTGTAAATGTAATGACGTATATCAAATGAAAATATGTAATTCCAATTTTTTTGCAAATAAACGCCGGGTTACAGAGGTGTCGATTTGTTGACTTAACGAACGCCCACTTTTGATGCCGTTACGCTGCAGAACGGACAGGAAAAAGGAAATGAATGAGGGGTTGTTTATATTGGTGGGACTCACGCTCCCTCATTCCCCTTTGGTTGTTGGTGATTTTATTTTTTTGGTTTTAGCGGTGCGATTGTGCCGGTATTGCATTCATTGATGGACGGTCGAGGAGATGGCAAGAGGCGTCAATGGTGGCTAGGCAGACAATAATATTCTGAAATAAAACGCAATTACGATGTTTGTTTATAAAACTCGTAAAACAGCGAGAGAGAGATCGGGAGTGGAAAAAGAGTCGTAAAAACCCATGGCGTAGAAATTTATAGGTGGGTCAATGTCAATGTCATGCAAAGAGGAATATGTAATCAAGGCATTGTCGGGCACATTGATCTTTTTTCGTATAACAAATTATTGGCTTTTAAAAAATTTCACGCAAATAAAAAATATTGGCACTAATTGTGGATGGAGTTGCAAAAAATTCTATTTCTGGCTATATTCTTAATTTCAAGACCTACAGACTTGAAGAGTAGAGATAGAAAAATTCTACTAAATCTAACTTCTTCTTATAGTATATCCTTATTTTATTGGCTATTCCAAGATCTAAATGAGCTCGAAGAGTAGAGGTGATAAAGAAATCCAACTTCTGCTTCTGAGTAGAATATCTGACTAAAATATCCATATTTTACCTTCAATTAAAATACCGTTACTTGATGACTTACCTATAAAAAATATCAAATAAATTCCTATTAACTTGACAAAGGCTCTAGACGGGTTCCAACTTGAGATTCCAAAAAAATAAGTTAAACGCCATATTTTTAAACCATCCCCTCATATATTTTTAAGAAACCAAATAACTTCTGTGTATTTCCAAAATTAATAATTATCTTCTTCTCTTTTTTTTGCAGGCTCAACGTCCCGAGAATACGGTTATGCAAGCCCTTGAATCGCTGAATGATGCCCAAGTCAATGATTTTCTTAGCGGCAAAACTCCATTGAATTTGAGTATGCGTCTGGGTGATCATATGATGCTGATACAGTTACAACTTAGCACGGTAAATCCTGTCAACAGTGCCGCTCATCACAGCGGCTCGAATTGCAGCAGTAGTTCCTCACGTACACGTTCCAGTCATCATCATCATCACCATCATCATCGCAGCAGTAGTAGTCGCAGTGCATCGACACAAACTGCCGGTGGATCGACAGCAGCAACAAATGGTGGAACCTCAGCGCCAGCTTCCTCATCTTCCAACAGCGGTAGCAGCAGCAACAACAGTCACCATCATCATCACCACCACCATCATCATCAGCACAATAATGGTGTTAATGGTGTAGTACCAGGATCCATAGCCTCATCAAATGCTACAGCAGGTGGAGCAGGAGTTGGAGTGGTCATGCCCACTGCCCAAAATGCCAATGCAGTGAGGAAATTTGAAATGGATACAACACAAAGGGTTGTGGGAAAACATGCCAACCCCACCGTAGTACCACCACCATCGACTGTAAGAATGACAACACCATTGGCCGCACAACCACTTCCCACACCAACATCCTCCTCAACGTCTGGTGTCAACGGCGCAATAAACTCCAAAAATTCCGATTTCAGCTCATATCTAAGCAATATTGTCAAGAGTATTGCTATGGCTCAGCCCGGTTCACGTCTAACACCTGCCGTCACCACAAATGCTGCGGCTGCTGGTTCGGCTGGGCAACAAACAACAACTACAAGCGCAATTCCCACATCGGCCATTGTGCCAGTAGTGGCCTCGCCCTTCCATACACCCTCCTCAGCTGAGGCTGTACTCTTGGAACAGTCACCCATCAAATCTTTATCAAATTTAGTCTCAAGCCCCATTAAGACCACATCAATTAAACACATTCCCCGTATATCTTCGAATAGTAGTAACAACAACAATAGTTCCTCCAATTCCGTGGCCCTTGGCCCACATACAACGGCTTTAAGTGCTAATACTGCAACGGCAGCAGCACCACCACCAATTTGTCAGGATCCCATTGCAGCGAAGTTGACCTCCTGTCTCTGTACCAGACTTAATGGAGGAAGCAGTGGTGCTGGGAATATGGCACCTCATGTAAGCGCCAAACAATGCATTGAAAGTTCATGTATTACTTCACAACAACAACAACAACAACAGCAACAGATGCCACAATTAGCTCAACAACAACAGCATCAACAACAACAACGTACAAGCTCTATAATGACCAGCACACCAAATTATAAATCTATTAATTCCGGTGGTCCTGTTTTGACAACACCACCCCCACCCCTAACAAATATTGCCGGCAATTCTTCCTCAGCATCGTCGCGTGCCTCTTCATCGTCGTCCTCGTCGTCGTCGTTACACAAAACAGCCCACAATGCAATTACCCGTAAGCATCGTCATCATCATCATCACCACCACCATCATCATCACTACCATCACCCTGGAGTACAAACCAGCAATTCCGTAAAATTGCAACCAAATCTCTCCTCGACGTCTTCATCTTCGTCGTCCTCAACAACACCCCAACGCGGTGGTGGCATTTCCAATGATAGTGGTTTCAATTCCAGCGATGATACCCTAAACATTTCTACACAAACTCCAACAAAGTCCAAACCCACTGTGGCAGCACCAACGCCCCTAATGATAGCCGCTCCATTGGCCTCAAGCTCTAACACCACCACACCAATTGCGGCCCAATCCAACCATTCAACACCAACTAGCGCAACGGCCGCAGCTGCCGCAACACCCATTGAACTAGATGAATCCGGCATTGTTTCAGATTCCCGTACACTCGCCGAGGCATCACGTAATCTCACCCAAACGCTGCGCAAACTATCCAAAGAAGTTTTCACCAATAAAATCGATTTCTCGGCCAGCGAGGAGACACCGCGCAAAAGTGGTTCCGGCGCCGTCATTGAATCAATGAAAAATCACGGCAAAGGAATATATTCGGGAACATTTTCGGGTACACTAAATCCAGCTCTGCAGGACAGATATGGTCGTCCCAAACGTGATATATCCACCGTAATACATATTTTGAATGATCTGTTGAGTGCAACGCCACAATATCATCGTGGTGCACGCATTAGCTTTGAGGCTCCATCAACATCGGCAGCTGCCGCAGCATCGGTGGCAGCAGCCAGCGGTTCGCCGGGTGCTATACATCATAGTTCCAGGAGTAAACATGTAAGTGGGGAAACACTATGCATATTATGGTAGAAAAATTACTTAGGATAGTTGGTATATAATTAAACCTTGGAAGACCTGCGACTTTAAGGGATTATTGTTCAAATAGGTGTTTTTCTAAGATCGGCTATGTGATTATGGAATATATTCTGTTGCTTTATTTAAATTTGATAACAAATATTTCGGTAATTTCTTCGGTTTTGGCCACATTTTCAAAATTCTACTCCTCAGTCCGTATCCTTTTTGAAATATCATCATTCATCTTGACCAACCTATTAGACGCAAACTCTCTATTACAGAAAAAAAAACGAATCGCGAAGTTGACCGAGCCTGAGTCTGGATAAATCCTGATTCCTGAGTCGATGGAAAGTATACGTAATATGTTCAAATTCCATAATATCCTATCAAAGGATGCTAAATATATTGAAATATATGTGCCTTCTTCCCAGTTTCAAATGATGGAATAAACGAAGTGCAACAAGATTCAAATACACGTTATTGTCCTGCCGAGGATTTCCTAGACTATAGACTCTTTCTAAGTAAATGTTCGGTTCCTTGGGGACCTTTTGCAAGAGGTTTTTGTGTCGATTGAGCTTTCCATTTACCACATACATTTCCATGCTTCAAAAATCTACTGCTTAAGGATTCCATTTCCAAGTTGTATCGTATACAAGTTGTAACGTATATTTACGACATGGTGGCTATGTTGATCAGTGATAATTTCTCACAAAAAAAAGAAAACCTTACAATGGATGCAAGAAGCAAAAGAGAGAAATATCGAAGAACACTAAAAGTACGGTCTTATCGTACTTTGATTTGAGTTTAGGTTGCGTACCTAGTGTTTCACTCGGAGACTCTTGGTCCATTGTGTACATCCTAGAAAGAATCAGTTATGGTGATAAGAAATACAGAGAAGCGAAATGAATTAGTTGTAGGGAGGTCTAGCCTAGCCATGAGATGATTTTAGCAAACCTATAGATGATGAAGGGGGGTCTGCGTCGGAGACCCTTGGCCCATTGTGTACATCGTAGAAAGAATCAGTTGTGGTCATAAGAAAAGGTAGAGAAGCGAAAAGAAAAATGGCTTGTTGAAATGAATTGGTAGCAGAGAGATATAGTCTAGCCATGAGATGCTTTTAGCAAACCTATAGATGATGAAGGCGTCTATATCTGAGAGGGAAAAATTGAGGTTCGATATCTGATACCACAATGGGAAGTCAATATGTCTACAACGATTTTTAGTTCCAACCTACTAGAAGATGGCAGATTCTTCTCGAGATAACCGGCCAGATTACCTTAGATTCATTGAAGCATTTTCGAATCGACTGACATAATAGCGGATACGTGGTTTGACAGTCTCTTTAATTAATTGATTCAACAATCGACTGGAAACCACCTCGAGCTAGTCTTTTCATTCCCTATTATATTGCTCTGTCCTGGAACCCAAAAAAGTTTAATGAGGTCGCGAATTTCAGGAAGGACTTTCTTACAGTCAATAATGGCTCCCGACAAAGTTCTCTTACCATTTCGGCTAATGGCTCCGGCCATAACAAAGTTCTCTTACCATTTCGGCTACCTTTTTGGTTGCAAGGATCTCCGCCCGATAAACTCGGCAGTTACAATTAATTAATTAAAGCGTTTAATGATTAGGTTTTGACAGAATACATTTTCATTATCGTCCTCGCCTTGATAGCTCGACGACTCCATTCTCAATTCTCTCACAACACATGGTATTCCCTCTGTCTTGTCATGCTAAGGAAATATATATTTTTACCATTTCCTTGGCACACTTAGGGAATTTGACAAGCTAAGTTATAAAAGGCGACATTTACCATAAAACACCTCGGAAGAAAAACACGGAGCAAGGATAATATAAATCTGGGACACTAAGAGAAAGAGAAATACCAAATACGAAGACCTAGACCTAGACCTGCACACACAATTCTCTGTCGTAGGCGGGAACTTCAAATACAAAATCTGAAGCAATTCCGGTAAATAGTGTCGCTGAAATCAGCAAACTATCGAATATAGAGAGGTAACGATATATGGGGGTATATAAAAATTAAACACACATTTGAGTAAAATTTTATCAACCTACTTCAATTCATTCGGAAGCTAGAGTTATTTCCACAGACGGGCAGACAGACAAATGGACGGTCATCAATAAATCGACATAGAATTCTATGCTGATCAAGAATATATATACTTTGTGGGATCTAAAATTCATATTTCGAGGTGTTACAAACGGAAGGACAAACTTAATATACCCTGCATACTATGGTGAAGGGTATAAAAAGTCAATCATTCTTGACCAAAATTTCGAATAGAAGTGAAATGTCCAAGACAAAACAAATTGTTGGCTTATTCATGGAAAAACTCCAACGGGAACCTTTGTATCCATTTTGTTCATTTTATGCCGCTAAAATCCTTATAATACTCAAAGAAAGTTAATCCGAAATAACTTGAATTATTCTCACACAGTTCCGTTTTTACTTAAACGCCATGATGCCTTTATAAGCAGACCCTTTTAGTATATTAGGTCGCATTGTTTCTCATTTTTTAAACTTCTTTAATATTTTATCGCCATTTTTTAACCCCACAACAGTTTTTAGTATTAGCTTAAATTGTAATTTCAAGGGGATAAAAAGTACCCGAACACCTTATAAGAATCTTGCCATGCGCTCAAATTAATCTATTCTAGTCTGAAAACCAATTTTTTGCATTCATAAATCTAATCTGTTTTTCCTCTCCTTTCTCTTTACAGCTTTCATCAAAGCATCATCACTCCTCGCATCCCTCCTGTGTCAAATGCATTAAAACACATAACAATAGCGCTTCCACCTCCTCGTCGTCGTCGTCAATCAATAGTGGATCTAATGGTGGTGGCGGTTCAGCGTCATCATCCTCTTCTTCACCCATATGTGCTTATGGCGAATGCAGCGGTCATTATGTTAGCAAATCACAATCAAGCAAAAGCTATCCCTGTTGCCAACCAGATGTGACTAACAGTTCCAATATGGTTACCAGCCATCATCATTCTTCGTCGTCGTCGTCGTCGTCAGCGTCATCATCGCATCACCAACACCACCATCATCATCATCACCAATCCCAACAACAGGTGATGGTGGATGAGCGCAAGGTGTGCCAATGTCGTTATCGCATACACAGTGAAACCGGCGAACGAGAACGCGAACATACCTGCCAGAAATGTGCTACCGAAATGGATAATATGAAAACCAAATCTAAATTGGATCAATTGCGTTTGGTAATGCAACAGCGCAAACAGAAACGTGAGGCACGCAAATTAAAGGGAGCTCCATATGGAGCACGCGTTGTTGGCACCACCAGCACAGCCACGACGGCAACATCGGGTGGCGCTGGTGTTGTAGATGCTGGCAATGCCACCAGCCTCAGTGCTACAAATAGCCCAATTAGTGCAAATAACAATCAACAAACACCAATTAGTGTGGCCAGTGCATCCACAGCGCCCAGTGAAGTATCACCAAATCATATTGTCGAAGAGGTTGATACAGCTGCATAGATTTATAACTAAACAAAAAAAAACATAAAATGCAAAATACGTTTTGTGTTTCAGAATTACAACTTTTTTTATAGATAAACTATTTGATGCTTATTCTTCTTGATTTTTTTAAGAAATTAATTTTATTAGAATTTAAAGAAAAAAAATTGCTGTTCATATTTTTTTTAATTTTAATTAGTTTTTCTTCGTGTAGCATTTATTAGTTTTTAGATAAAAAATAAAATACCTTTTTTTTTCTCACATTACCACCAACAATTACAACAACAACGATGACTACTTTACAACAACAAAAATCAAAGAAAATATCGTAAAATGTAAAATTTATTTATACACAACCACCAGTTTTTTTAAGGCAATTTGTTCATTTTTTTTTTGTAATAACTAGCCTCAGTCCGTGAATATTTTAGGAGTTCGATTTTAAGCGAGCTTGGGAAAGCATTAACACCTTTTCCTCCTTTTTTATCATTCTTTAAGGCAAAAAGAATCTGTCTTAAAGTTTGACAGAATGGATTTTTACTGATTTAGCCTCATCATTTTTTGAAAACAGTATCATTGAACCATCTTAGAAATAGTTTTAAAATCCACCGATTTTTTCCACATTTCCCCATTGTTTTTAGTGGAGAAATTTCTTTTTTTTTTTCTATAACTCGGCTCAAAGAAGTAATAAAGTGCAAATAATTGCGAATAACTTACTTTGAAAGAGATATGCAACCTGAAAAAATGATGGAAAATTAACAAAATTTTGAGGTTTATTTTTTAATAGAAATTGACTCAATATTAGGCTACCTTACTTTTATTTGATTGCCTCATCTTGGATTAAACTCTGAAATATATCTGTTTTATAATTTTTTCTACAAGTCAAGATTCCAAAAATTCCTTACCTTTATTTGATTGCCTCATCTTGGATTAAACGCTGGAATATATATGTTTTATAATTTTAGATCTACAAGTCAAGCACCCAAAGTTCGCCATACCACGTAATCATTTCCCGGATGGTTAGGATTCCGAGAGTTTTTACTCAAACGGAGTTATTTTATTTGTGATTATCAAGAAATTCTGCTGATTTTTTTGGCCAAATAATATATCATTATACCTTCTAAAAGTCTTGATGTTGATATCTGGAAATGTTTTTGATTTTTCGATTACCAGAGACATCTGTAGCCGAACTTTATGATTGGCGAATTATTGAAAAAATGGACAAATTTTGCAAAATCTAACTGGTGGTTACCAAATTAAATTAATTAATGTTATGTTTAAATAATTTATATATAAAAATTGTGTTTTCTTCGGTTTTAACGTCAACATGCCTTTTCCTAATATTTTTGGATTATATCATAAAAAATAATAATAATTTTCATTCATATATGTAGCTCTATTTTAAATGAATTTTTGTTGGATTTTTTTAGCTTAAGAAATGTTTTTTTGGTTTTTTGCTTTATTACTATTAAATTAATAACAACAACAATAATAATAATAGTTTTAAATAACAAAAACAAAAGAGACCTTAAATTTGCAATAATTTTGAAATGGAAACAAAACACATTAATGATGGTCCACAATTCGTAATTTTCAATATTAGATCTGTTAGTTTTTTTAATTTTGTAATTTTGCTCCGCAGGCTGAGCTATTGTTTCTTAAAACAAAACTTCATTCTAATGCAATTTATTTTATTTCTAGAATGAATTTTGAACACATCTGTTACTACTTTACAACTACTTTCTTAACATTTTTTCCCACTGTTTTTTTTTAATCTTAATAAAAATATATATTAAAACGTTGTGCGTTATTTTTTTAAACTCCATTTTATTTAAACTTAGTTCAAAACTTTCCCCAATTTCTTTTTCCTTCCTTCCTTTCCTTCCCACCAAACAAATAAACTTCCCTTACACATATGAATTTTTTGCCTTTTGGTTTATTGAAAATACCAACAAAACCTATAAACTTTAGTTTTAAATTTTAAATAAGAAATAAATACATATATATATTTTTTGGAAAACTTAATTTAAATATTATTACAACAATCAATCAATCAATCAACAACAACTACTACAAATATTTTACAAATTATTTTTATTATTACTTTTTATTTTATTTTTATTTTTTAATTTAAAATTTTTGTGTGAAAAATAAAAGAAATAAATTTGTTTAATTGTATTTTTTGAAAAAAAAAAGTTTTTTCGTTTTTTATTTTATTTCATTTATTTTATTTTTTCTTTTAAAGAAATCGTCAAGTGTTCTCGCCATTGTCACAATGTTTTAAAATGAAGGATTTTCTTCATGAATTGTAGCATACTTTTAGGCGTTATTTTTATATTTGCTATTTCTCAGTTATTGTTCTTTTTTTTTTTGAAATTCGCTGCGCTTTGTAGAACCCATGGTACAATAAAAGGTAAGGTAGAGCTACCAGCTGATTACAATTTATTTCTAAGTGTGTCCGACTCCTGCCAATTTTGTGTATGTATTTATTGTTGTGAAAAATGAAAAAAAAATATTTTCAAAACCAATGATTGAAAAGCACGTTCATTGCGGCTCGCGTATTTTAAAAATGAGGAAAATATGGAAAAAATTAAAACAACTTGTTGTATATCATTTTGAATGAGTCTGACAGAAAGCGGGCATAGTCCCAGGGATGTATTTCTGTAGTTTTACGAAGCTGTTCTACCTCCTTATTGTATCATGGTAGAACCTGTTTCTGTTTGACGATACGAAAGTGAATGTGAAAGAAAAACGCCATAAGTTGTTTGGCTTTGTTTATAAACTTAAAATTTGAAAAATAGGGTGGGCATAGGGTTCTCTTTCGCATGATCTCCATTATAGGCCAAGTTACGCCATAAATATGATCGATCTTGTTCCCTTCCCGGAGATTGTAGAAAATATTTTCTATGGGGAATTACATCCCCTTTCATCGAGCCACTTTTTTGAAATCTCTCGAAGTAATGTTCATGTATCTCAGTGGTGGCACAAGGTTGATCTAACCGAGTTCTCGACATCAATGTCAATTGACTCGGAGCCACATCTTGTCAATTCATCTGCTGCTTCATTAGCTGAATTGTTACGATGGTGTGGAACCCAAAAGAGTTGCACTTCAAAACTGCAATAGATTTAATGGTAAATGAATTAAGTATCTGCTGTACCGCCTGACCATCGACGTATATAGTCATTAGACCATTAACTTCACTGTTTCTATTTGTTAACATATCTTTACCTTTTTTGAAACATCAGTATAGACAGCTACACCGGATGAAGGTGATTGTTCTAGTGCAGCATGGGGAGAGCTCCTAAATGACTTCTAACACATGCTTTAGTTATAGCCGTCTGCAATGAAGTGCGAATTTGGCAAATCAGAACAGAACACTATACTGAGTCAGACCGATGTACATCTCTCTCGAGCCATGCTACTTTTATGGTTCGAGTTTTAAAGGGAAAGATGTTCACTTTCTGTTTCATACTTTTCCGGCCACGATCTACATAGAATCTCCAGGGCCCAATCCAATGCGAGCACGCATTTTTTCAAAAGTTTAAAAAAGTGGTGTTCTCCTGTTTTCCTGTCCCAATTTTCTTGTAATAACATACCCAAAGTATGACAAATTATGACAATATTCTGTCTCAGTGGAAATGCTTTTTCCAATAGAGAAAATGAAAACTCAAATTAACCCTAAGACTTCTTTCCAACCATGGTACAATGAAGAGAAGGTAGGCCAACTTTGAAAAAATTGCAAGTACAGAGGTCTGCCTGTTTGGCTTGTAATGTCAGAATTAGTATCAAAACAATAAAAAAATCAAACAACATGTTGCATTTATTTTGAATAAATAATTGAAAACCGCGAAAACTGAATGAAAGGTCAACACTTCTTTTCAAAACCAGGTTCTATATATCTCTAAAGGATTATTTCGCTACAAAAACTCTAGATTTTGTCGACGCATACGGTGAAATAAACATTTTGAAAACATCCGAATTTGAATGTTTTCTGAACAATTTTTTTTGTTATTGAAAAGAAAACACATACATAAACAAATAAAGATGACATATTAAGCCAAGAAAATAAAAAAATTGAAATCATATGATATCATAGCCCTACCTTGATATCATTGTACCATGTTTCCAACCCTTTAGAAAAATAATTGCAATGAACTCGCATTTCACTGAAAATTGAAAGCATACTTTGAGGCTCCAATGAAAAATGTTCATTATTTATACCATCAGCCATATGGTACAGAAGGTATTTGTCTTGATACATCCAGAACGTGCCTCATCGAGATAACGGTTGTAGATCCTAAGTCTCTGTGGACCAAATCTGTTTCAGGACATTTGGAATCGATCTTAGGGTGTCCTTCTGTGTATGTGTCTGATTGATGCGCACGATAACTTTTGAATGGAGAGTCCGATTTGATCCAAACTTAGTACATCGTAATACTATTATCAAACTTAGATCGAGGTCGAAGATGGACGATATCGGCTTGCTCCTTTTGGCACCTCAGCCACAAAAGTTCAGAATATTCACAGAAAATACTTTTTTCAAATTGTTGGATTTTATTTCATTTGAAAAATACTCATGGATTGTGTACCCTCTTTCGAGTTCACTTTCGAATCGCCATAGAGAACAGGCCCTAAGTTTTCAGAATTTAAGGGATTAGTACAAGACTCTGTCCATTCGAAAAGTATGGAAATTTTATTCTAAAAACGCTTTTTATAATCTACAAAAATGAAGAACAAAATCTTAAAGAAGTCGTTTTAATTTCAAAACTTTCCCTGTAGATTTTTTCATTGACAATTTCTGTTCTATAACAATATTGTTTCTTTTTTTTATAAAAATGTTAGTTGTTGTAATTCATGCATATACCTTACATAAATAAGCTTAGTTGGTACTTATAAAAAAATTGTTGAAATATGTTTGTATTTTTTATTATAAATATTATTAAATTTTTTATTTGAAAATGAAAACAATTTATTTTACTTTTTTAATATTTTTGCATATTAAATAAATATTTCATTTTAGATTTTATTACAAAAATAATATAGTTTAATTATCCCTAAGTTTCATGTGGGAATCAATGCAATTTGTGCCAATATGTTTATTTTCCATTTATCCCTGGCTTTCGATGTTTTTGGTTTAAATATTTGTATAAGAAATTAAATAATTAATGTGCAATTCAATACTTATTGTTGTCAAAATATGTGTTAACTTTAACATATTTTATTTTACATACTTTAGATAAATAATTTTAGAAATTTTCATGCAAAAAATAAATAAATAAATAAAAACAATATAAATATATAAAAAATGGTAATTGAAATTATTTAAAAAATAAATAAAACTATATACATAGTGTATGATTACAATCTATATTCTTTATAATAATATTTAATTGTAAGCATTAAAATATATATTAGCCGTGTAAATTAATATTCATGACTTACTTTAATAAATTATGAAAAAAAAAACTAAATAAAAATTAGTGATGACATGAAATTAATTTTCAAAAATAGAAAACAGCAAAACTAATATGACATATATAAAACTATTTCAATTGTGTTCTTGCTATAGAAATATATTTTTAAAAACTAGAGAAATTATATGTAAATGAAATGTAATAATAATGTCACTGTAGTCCAAAAATGTCATCACTCAATAATAATAATTCAATTCTAATTCATACTATATATAAATTTTTACCTTAATATTTAATAATATGTCATGTAACGTGAATTATCGAATGAAATTGCTTTATGGATTGATTAGGTTAATATTTTTTTTATTTTAAATTATTGGTATGAAAAGTTTGGCTCCAATATCGTTATTATATCGAAATATTAGGGTGTTGCGAAAATGATGGGAAATGAGATTTTATTTCACTCAAAGGGTTTAGAGACACATTAACGAATATGCCAAAACTGACATATACCGCAATGGGTTGGAAACATAAATGCTTTTTGCATATCCAAGACAATCTGCATCTCTGCATCCTAGCCACAAACAGTGATCCAAAATTAGTTCCATTTAGTACTTTTCGAACAATCATAGTACGCATATCCCAAACCAGCTTCTTCTCGCAACCACAGACTCCAACGATGACATCCAAGTCAAGTTTTAGGATTTAAGCTCTACACCTTTATCTAATGACAATTATTACTATTTAGTATTGATTAGTACTTTTCGAATAATTATAGTACATATTTCCAAAACCATTTTCATAGCACAATCCCAGATATCAACAGAGACCTCAACATCAAATTTCGGGATTCCAACACTATCCCTTCGCCCAATACCCAATTTTGTAACACTCAGTACTTTTTGTACAAATACAGCACACATTTCTAAAACTACATACCACACCTTCACCACACCTTCAGTGATATCTACCTCAAATGCCAGGATTTTAGCTTCGTTCCTTTTCCCAATCAAATGTTGTACTACTTAGTACTTTTCGAACAAATATAGTACACATTTCCAAAACCAGCTTCATATCTTAACCACAGACACCAACAGTGATATCTATATGAAATTTCATGATTTAAGCTCAATCCCTTCACCCAACCACATTTAGTACCATTTAGTACTTTTCATACCATTAAAGTTAGTGCACATTTCCGAAGCCACCTCCATATCTTATCCACAGATACCAACAGAGACCACAATATCATATTTGAAGATTCCAGCCCCATACCTTCAATCAATACCAAATTTTGTACCATTTAGTATTTTTCGTACAAATATAAAACGCATTTTCAACCTACTGCCAAATCTCAAAACAGGTTCCATCAGCAATCTAAATGTCAATTTAAAGAATTTTATTTATATCCCTTCATCCAATAACAAATATAGTGCCACTCAATCCTTTTCGTACAATTAAAGTACACATTTCCAAAACCATCTCCATAGTCCAGGCTACACATGAACAGCGTCGATCAAATTTCATTATCCTCCACTCCATCAGTGACGCTCATTCCAAATTTCTAAAAAACTAAATTATTCCGTTTGTAAAGTACAATGTATGCAATTTTTAGTACTAATTGTGGTTAGTTCGAACATTATCACATGCCTACGCACCAAGACTGATCCTCGTGCAAAATTTCTAGCTTCAGCCGTTTCGTCTGGGCAGTACATGAAGACTCTTAGCCTTTTTG